CCCCTGCAATCTTGGAGGAACTCTGAAACACAGACTGCTATACTACAGAGAGAACTAAGAGATGAGTGACCAGGCACCAAGAAGGACACCCCACTTTCTTGGGGTAGAACCTTCATAATGGGGTAGAACCTCAGTCCCAACCCCCACATTCCTCATTTGTCTAGCCAGCCAGCAGGAGAGTTTCCTACAGAGGGGACCAAGAGAGCGGACAAGAAAGAGGACCAAGAGAGGAACTCTAAAGCATAAACTGTGACAGGACAGAGTAGACCAAGAGAGTGAACCAGGAGAGCAGACCAGGAGAGAAGGCTAAGAGAGACCTCAGTGGCTCCCCAAAACACAGATGTTGACAATACAGAGCAAACTGATAATAATTCCCAAAATCTCCAACAACCATTGTAAGTACTGGCCCAAGACACAAAGACACTGCCAGCCTCAATTGAAGAAAAAGATGGGTAGGCGCCAATGCAAGAATTTATACAACTTAAAAAGCAACATGTAACACCAGAACTCAGTTGTACAGAACATAAATACTTGATCAACATAATACAGAAAAGCACAAGAAAACGAGTTTAACATGATGTTTTAAAGATGATGTAGACTTTTAAAGAGGAAATCAAAAATTCCCTTAAAGAAATGGAGGAAGAGACAAAAATTTTTTTGCAAAAAATTAAGAAATCTATCAATAAAACCGAAGAATGTCCAAGGAAAAAAAATTGAACAGGTGAAACAAACAGTTCAATCCTTGAAGACTGAAATAGAAGTGAAGGGATTCCAGGTTTTCCCCTGCCTCTCGAGGTGCAAATTAAGGACTATTTTGGCTAACCAGTTAAGCTTCCTGCTAGTTCAGTGCTTGTTCTGCTCTAGCCTGGTAAAATAACCATAGGGCTCTATATTACTTTGAAATGACAATTTCTCAACCTGCCTCAGAGAGCCCAGGCGCCAAGGTCCCTCTACCCTGTCTGACACTGCCCTGTTTCCTGTGTTTTGAATATTTTTAAATTCAAAATTTAAAATAGAATTAAATTTGAGTTTATGTTAATTCTAAAGTCCACTTTATCTATTCTAATATTTCTTCCATCGAGCATTTTTATAAAATGGCTATTGACATATATTTTATGATTTCCTTATTTGTTTCTCATGTGTATTTAATCATTTTAAGTAATTCATTAAATCATTGTTAATTAATAATCACTTAACTTTAAATGTTGTTGTACTTTTATTTATTACACTATGCAAGCCTTGTTCAAAGAAAATCTTTTTCTATTCAACTGTCCCAAACATTGGTTTACATATGATAGATAAGATATCTCAGGACTTCTTGTTTAATTGTTAATCCATTTGGGGTTCAGTTTTACAAATGTGAGTTAGAGAAGAGTACTTTCATTATCTATTTGTAATAACTTTTCCCAGCAAAACTTATTGAAAAGTTTTAATTTCTTAGTGTTTTAGCAAATTTCTATAAAGTAAGTTAGCTATACATGTAATGGTTTACTTCAAGGACTACATGAGGGGTTGTTCTCTATTTTTGAGCACCATAATTAAAATGTAGCCAGTTCTTTAATATATGCAATTCAAGTTCAAAAGAAAAATATATCCTTCAGTTTTCTAAAATTTAAAACAATTTTAAATTGTATACTTCTATAAATGTAAATTAAAATATTTATATTTTCCTTCTATCAAATCTCCCCAATGTTAAGATTATTCATTACACAGTTATGTGAATGCATTAAGTAAAAACACATTTCTCATTTCTAGCATGTTACAACTCAAATCACTGATATGCCTCAAAATGTATATAAATTGCCTATCTTTACAATTTCCTAAATTTTTAAAAATGGCTTCTTCCAGGGAGGCAATGGAAACTTGATACTTTGGAACTACAGGTAAGAGAAAATCACATCTTCCTTGTATTTTTTTTCCTGGTCTTAAGATTTGAAGAACATTGTCAAATTCCCATCAAAACAGAATTTTAGAAAACCTGGTTGCTAACACATTTATGCTTCTTAAAATAATTAAACTAACATTACTGGTATGGGATTTATTTAAGTATTGATTTTAACATAATCATGTAAACAGAAATATGAAGATAGAAAGGGGAAATTGAGAGAGGAATCTAATTGGGAAGAAGGACAGAGGGTAATACAAAGAGAGAATGAGAAAGAATTCTAAAGATATTTGAAAAAGACATGGAAAATACTTTTTTTAAAGTTTACTTAAAGCACAAATTATACACACACACATATGCCGTTTATGTGGAATAATGTCACCCAAGGGAATAATGCTTTCCCAAAAGTTCATTTGGTAGGGCATAGGTTCATAACACCCTAAAATATGATAGATTTTTTTCCCATTGTCTTGGTTTCTTCAGAAACTTAAAAAGATGATTTTGCAGAAAATACCATATTATTTGGACACAGGATTTGGAAGAAACAATGTGGAACTGACCTAGAAGCCTTCTATCTAAAGACTAACTTTTATAGTATCAGAGGTGCTGTACAAACTGCTAAGGGAGAAAAGTAATGAATGGCCCCAGACTGCTGTAAAGTCGGAGAACTGCAACAACTACCAACAAAGGAAGACATCTCCAAGTCTTCATCAGTCACATGTATGCCTTGGGAGGAATCGCCTTCTGTCTAATTTGACTCAAGGCTGTTTTAATAGGGAAAAAAAAGCTTGGAGCTGAAAACATACTGAAACGTCTTTGTCTGTAGGGGTTATAGGCCCTAAAGGGGATTCTGGAGCAAAATGATTATGCTTAACTCTCTCACCCTTTACCACTGAGAATTTCATTGTCTCCATTTTCCAAGTATTGAGATTTCAAGGACAGGTTATGATACCTGACTTTTTAGATGAATTCTGGGTTTTATTTGTTTGGCATAGTTTGGTTTCTTGATTCACAACTATTGTATAATTGGATTTCTTATATTCATGTTTATTTTAGCACATTATTTAGTTTTTGCTTTGCAACCTTCACCTGTCCTAATTCCAAAAGTACAATACTTTATAAAATAATACCAAGTTAGTAATTCAAAAGGATCACAAACAATTTTGGACCTGGTGCCATTAAAATTGGCATTGGGCTCCACTTAGTTTAAGCAGACACATGCTTTCTAAAACTACTTGGATTTTGAATTATAGCTCAGAAAGATTTTGATGCTGTTTCCAGATCTTGAGTCATTTACCTCAAAAGGAGGACCAAAGTAATGAAACAGAACCTCGTGGTGATACACAGATTAATTAAAATGGATTAATTTAAGATATAAGAGTTGGCTCTGAATGTGACTGAAAAATTTGCCAAACATTATGTGGCCAGAAAATGAGAGAACAGTTTCCAATTACAATGGAGAAATAGAATAGACGAGATAACTCCTTGTTGGAATCATGTAGCTTCAATCATCCGATTTTATGACAAAGGTGCCAAAGCCAGTGAATAAAAGATATAAACTTCAAAAATAGTGCTGAAAATATTTGATGTCAATGTGTAAAAATAAAGTGAGATACTTATTTATCAAACATGTATAAAAATTAATTCAAAACTGGAGAAAGATCTTAGAAGAAACCTAAAACTTTGAAACTGCTAAAGGAAAAAAGATAAAAACACTTCCAGACAAAGGGAAAAAGTCATTGCCAACTATATATCTGACAATAAAGGGATGCCTATAATATATAAAGAACCCCCATAAAAACTAAACAAATCATAGAACTCACTCAACTAATAGACTAAAAGTATAAGAACAAGCTTTCAAACTTTAAGAACAAATGTACAATTGATGTGCAAAATGTTAAACATTCTTTGTTATAAAAAATGAAAACAATCAAAATCCACAACCTATTGAAAAGTAGACTTGTGAAGCTGAATCCAATGAACACATCTTTAAACTGTTTCTTAACCTAAAATCTCATGGATTATATTAAAAATGTCATGGAAAAACTGTAAGAGCCAGAAGATCAGGGACTCCTCTTTGAGATTAGGTGGCCTAGTAACATTAGAGGCTATGTGCATAAATTTTCATGAACATGATTTCATAGACTCAAGCTTAAGAAGGACACCAATGGACATGCCAAAGTTAATAGAGGAAAGTCCCATGAGATTTCCACCCTACACAAAGAACTGTAGTCAAGTGAGAAAAAGAAATATGAAACAAACAAACCAAATAATTCAGAGAGGAAATAGAAACCAGGTACAAAAGAGCCACCCCCCCAAAAAAAGAAAATATAGAAATCAACATGTAGACCTATAATAATCCCAAACCCAGATTTCTAGATGACAGCATAAGAAAGCAACAGCCAGAGCAATGTCCTTCCACTAGAGAACAGCTATCCTATGATGGCATACTCTAAATATTCCAGTGTAGCTCAAGGGCAACTAAATAAAATCCTTGAACCAACTATGTGAAGATGATAAAGGTAAGAAGTAATGATTACTATAAAGAAATCCAGGAAAGCATAAAGAATAAGAGAAAATGAATAGATTCCCTAAATAAATACAGGGAAAAATCTACTGGAGGAAATGAATACATTCTTTAAAGAAAATATAAACAAACAGTTAATAGAAATGAATAAAACTGATTACCACCTAAAAGTGGAAATTTTTTAGAATCAATAAAGAAAACATAACATGAGGGAATTCTGGAAATGAAAAGATTTAGAACTCAAACAGGTAACACAGAGATCTGCTTAAAAACAGAATGTAACGGGTGGAAGGCAGAATTTCAGGCACTGAATATATAATAGAAGAAATAGATACATCATTAAAGTGATTCATGGTTACAGTTGTTTTTAAAATATTATCAACATTTTGTTGACAGTAGGATTACACATAAACAATTACCCATAAAAACAATGCATAAATCTCTTAGCTATGATCATGAATACAATATCTTTATTTTCCTATACAATAGAGTTGCAGAAATACAAGAATCTGTTCAGTAGTATAATTGCATGTGGACAAAATGAGAAGCATTATTTATCTTAGAACTTTAAAAATAAATCACTATAAACTATTTTGCTATCAGCAAAAGTTTTGTAAAGGCACTCTTGACTTCCTTGTTCCTCAAGCTGTAGACCAGAGGGTTCAACATAGGAATGATCATGGTGTAAAACACAGATGCGATTTTGTCAGTGTCCATGGAGTGACTGGAGCTGGGCTGCAGGTACATGAATATGATTGTCCCATAGAAAATAGACACAGCAGTGAAGTGTGAGGCACAGGTAGATACAGCCTTTCGATATCCAGCACTTGACTGCATCTTCATGATAGTGATGAAAATGAATATGTAGGATATCCAAATAACCAAGAGAGCAAAAAAGATATTGAAGCTCACAACATAAACAAGAACCAGCTCACTCACATATCTGTCAGAACAAGAGAGAATCATAACTGCTGGAATATCACAAAAAAGTGATGAACCACATAGGCCCCACAGAAAGAAAGGCTGAAAGTGTCCCCAATATGGATGGAGGCATTCAGAAAACCACAGAAATATGAACCTATAGAAAGACAAACATACACACTTGTAGTCATAGTGGTAGCATAGTATAGTGGCTTACACACCGCTGCATAACGATCATAGGCCATTGAGGCCAGCAGGTAATTCTCAACAGTAGCAAAGGCTACAAAAAAGAACATTTGAGCAGCACAGTCATTGTAGGAAATGACTTTGTCTCCTACAAGGAGCCCAGTCATGACTGTGGGTGTGACAGCTGAAGAGTAACAAAAATCAACAAAGGAGAGATTGCCTAAGAAAAAGTACATAGGAGTGTGGAGTCGAGAGTCCAGGACAATCAGGAGGATCATTCCCAGGTTGCCCACAAGAGTGATGGCGTAGATGAGGAAGAAGGTGATGAAAAGGGGAATCTGTAGCTCTGGTTCATCGGTGAGTCCCAGCAGGAGAAAGTGTGTCACTTCTGTGCTATTCTGCATCAGTGTCATCTTTCAGTGCATAGCCATGGAAAAAGAGGAACATGATGATAAAGAAGTTGAGCGAGAATACAAAAGCATAAGTGAGGACACATGCATTTGTGAAAAAACAATCTGTGCCTTGAGATTGTCTGGAAAGATGAACCCTTTTCCAAATCAAATCTAATGTGGTGATTAGACAAAGGGTTATATGCTACTAACTGCAACATTATACAATAATTGCTCAGCCATCTTTTCAATAGTGATTTATCAAAGTCAAGGGATTTGGTAAAGGGTTTTAAACCAAAATGCTAGGGTTTTGGCAGAACTGTTTGTAAATGAAGTCGCTGACTTTTTTTTATAGACCACTGCTGTAACTAATTCCCTTTCTGTTACATATTTGAGGATTAATTCCAGATTTCAGAACAGTGTCCTACTGCCATGCCTTTTTCCTCTATCCTAGGTAAGCACAGAGATCTGCCTTCCTGCTATTATTTTTATCAGCAGGCATTTGGTGAGAGCATCCCATTTAAAATATTCACAGATATTCAGGGGCATAGAATTGCTACTTGCCCAAGATGCTGCTCTGGCTTTACCTCATTTAAAAGATTCTTAGCTCCTTAAGCTCAGTTTTACCTCAATTTACTGTTTTTATGTCAGAAAATTTACTGCTTGTGTTTTAGTTTCAAGGACAGCAGAAAAGACCTGGGCCACAAGCTCATGATACTCACGATCAGAAGAGCTGATAGCAGAGGCTTGGGTCCCTTTATTTTTATTGTTTGTTTCTAACGCCTAAAGCAGGACTCCAGACCTAGGGCCATAGAAACTGAAGCTTCTGGCATGTGACTATATGATCAAGAGCCATCTGCGTAGCCGCAACTGTTTACATAGGTTGCCTAGTTACCAGGTAGCCTATATGCATTCTGGGAGAAAAAGAAGCTGCACACTGATTTAAACAATCCGTGCCCTATTCCAAATTTCACTGAAAATAAATTCTTTAGCTCTTCACTAACCAGCTAAAAATACAGTGTAGCGCACTAACCTGATCCTCTAAAATCCCCTGATGATTTAATTCCTTTCTTAAGTAACTTTCTCCATTAAGGCATTCATGGATATACACAAATCTCTCTCTCTCTCTCTCTCTCTCTCTCTCTCTCTCTCTCTCTCTCTCTCTCTCTGTGTGTGTGTGTGTGTGTGTGTGTGTGTGTGTGTGTGTGTGTGTTTGTGTGTGTGAAAACCCTTATCTGATTTAAAAGAATTCTGTCCCTGGAACTTGCTAGCCCTGAGGAATTGCTAGTTTTAAGAATAAATATGACTGGGAACATTTGTAAGTGTAAGAACAAAATAGTACAAGAAACGCTGAGAAATGATGAATTGAATAGAGAAAGAAACATGGACAGATGATTCCCACTGTGAGTAGACTTCTAAAACTTTAAGGCTTCCATTCGTTATATGTGCTAGATTTTAAAGATTATTAATGGAATCTTTCCCAACTTTAAAATTTTGTAGTCTATACAGTCATTAATAGATGTAGACTACTTAAGAATGATATAAAAGAACAATGTGTGGATAATTTCCCAATTAACCTCTGAGTTCCTTAAATGTCTCTATGTTGGTAACTTTTCAAGGATTGCTCTAGAAAAACATCTTAGGTGACCACTTTGTGAATACCCTCAATGATATTAGAACTTGGTGATTGTTGTTTTCATTTAAATTATGGAACACAATAAATTTAGTAATTTATACATATTACTAAAGTTTGAAATGCTAGTCTGTGTTTGAGTCTATGACTTTAACTCTTGCTGATGACCAAGTTTCAGAGTGTAATCAGAATTTAAATTGAAGATAACATTAAATATAATTACATGGCTGCCATGGCAAGAGCGCAGCATTATTTGAGTTACAGAGCTCTGTTTCTATTTCAAAGCATACATTCCTGGTACCATCTTTTGTCCTGGGACACAAAGGCAAGAAATAGGGTACAATCTAAAATAAGTACCTTGGCTGGTCACAAAGTTCATTTTCCCTATTTCTTTATCTATATTTTGAAAACTGTCCTAAGCATCCCTTTTCAGAAAGTCAGGTATTTTTAGTTTTTTTATTTGAATCTGTCCTCATCTTCCTCCATGCAGCTGCTTAAAATCATCATTGCTGAACAAAGCACATTTCATGGAAATAGCACAAAAATATGATTTTCTCTCTCCCTTTTCCCCATCTCCCTCCTATCAACAGCTGCTAGATATGAAGCTTACCTGTGCTTCTCCCAAACTCTAATAAATTTATCCTCAAACATCCTTATTAGATTATTTCTAAAGTGTTTTACTAAAGTTAAAAAAGAGTTGAACAGTCAATACTGGATATCTAGGCAAGAGATTAGCATATCTCTATGTGCAGTAGATATGATGGGATAATTTAGGTGAAGGCAGCTATTTCAACTTGATGCATTTCTGTTCTGAAATCTGGAAGCAGATAATCATCAACTACATACAGTACACACAGAGCTTTGTTCCATTCACCATATAGGATCCATTGGTCTGTACTACCTTCCCTGACCACTGAAAATTAAACAGTGTAATCACATCATCTTTAAGTACTATTATAAGAAGCCAACAAGATAGCAAGATGTTCATATTATTACATACAGGGAGAGTTAGCTTTCTGATTATTATTATTATTACTATTATTATTATTATTATTATAAGTTATTATGCTTAGACAGGAGCATGATCTATTTTTTTTTGGCTGATTTGATTTATACAGATGTTGGAAATGAGGACTTCACTGCAGGTGATATTGATCTGTCTTTCCTCATGTTGCCTTCTGCAATAGCACCACTGAGTGTCTATGCTATCCTCCAGTGTGTTTCTGCTTCCTCTGTAAACACTGCTTGCTGAGTCTACAATTATCCAGGACCCAGTGTTTCTTGAATTCTTAATTGAAAGGCATATTTTCATTTGATGAAAATCTACATTTCATTAGCTCATTATTTCCTTCACTCTGTCACACGATATCAAAGTCACCAAGACCAAAATAAAATTGGTCATTTAAGGGACATCTTTGTCTCACACATACCTTACCAATCTCTTCTGTTTTGTAAAATCATTTGATATGATGAGGCTGTCATATAGCAGCATTTCAGCTTCTATATTTGTTTTGTTTTCCTTGGATACTAAGTTTATTTTGACACCGAGTTTGGCCCTTAATTCCTATGATGAAGCTATGTTCTTGCCTCAGCCTTCAGAATACCTGCAAAGGGACATTTTTTTGGCTTGATCTGAAGCCTTGAAAGAATATCCAACTTAAACAAATGTGTATCCCCTACCACAAAACTCATAAAATTCTGGAAATTTTTAGTGCAAACCCACTATATGAGCTGACTTTCAGAAAATACTATAATCTGCAATTAATAAGGGATTCGTACAAGAATGTATAAATAGATGTTATTACTATTATTTTATGCATTTTTATTGAAGAAACTAAAAGTTTAATAAGTCACCAGCTTTTCTAAAGTTATTTCTTCATTTTGAAAAATATTCAAGTTCTTTTAGGACTCATATCTTAATTAAACCCATCATTTCCACAGTCAGTTAGTGTAATAATTAGCTGTATGTGATTGTAGGGAAACCATTAAAATGTGTATAGTAAACCATTCAGAGTATTTTTAAATTTTAAAAGATACTTGCTTATACTTTTGCTTTTTGTGCTTGCTTCTTTATCTGAAATAATAGTAACATAAATAGGAAATAAAAATGACAACTATTCAGAATGTTCTGGTTCTTGCAAGGCTCATGCACATAATGAGCTAAGAAAATACTTAAATTACATAAAATGTAACTTTTTACATTTATACCGTAACCAACTCCAGTTTTTGTTTTAAGAAACTGTTTCCATCATTACTTTCACCTTTAACATATTTCACAGTAGGTGGTGCTGCACAGCTCCTTTTTCATGGACTGTAAGTCTCCCTGACATTGTTTATGTAATGTATCAGTCCTTCAATGAATGTGAGATAATCAAGTCAGCTACAGAATATTGGTTACACAGTTCTTTCTCAGGAAGTGATCAAACACTTTTGTGTTCTCTGAAATTTTTAAAAACAGAGGAAATGACAGTAAAATGTAACAACTTCTAAAACTCTATAAATTCTTCCCTTTTCAAAAGGCCATATACGTGCCTTACTTACAAAACAAAAATGTGAAGATTGTATATCTTACATTATTTGTCATTTATGACTAAAAAAGATGGCAGGTGTACATGACATCATACCAATTTAAAGGCTGTTGATATAACTTTTACCTTTTAGCTTTTTTTCCGTAACCATGCATGAATACTGACAGAAAATCTTCAGTCAAGAAGTGGTCAAAATTGGATAACAGTGAATACAATTCAAATGCATAAATAAACTTTTCTAAAACATAACATTAAGCATGTTATTTAAGAATCTAGTGCCTGAAGAAAAAGGAAATCTATGTAGATTTGGGCAGCCCTAGAGATTAGATTTCCTTTGTGTGAATACCAGTAGCTCTCAATCTCCTTTCTAGACAAGAAGGAATTAAAACCATGGTTACCTACATGCCTATGGGAAGTGCTTCTAATTGGACTCAGAGGATTATTAATGACAGTGAAATAACAAAGTCATACGCTTGGGAGGACAATTGAGAGATAGTGTGATATTTAGGAGGGTGGTAGTGGTGGATGGATAAGATACATTGTATCAGTATATAAAATGATCATATAATGAATTAAACATATTTAAAAACTTAGGAAATGATTATTCTTATTGTGCACTTGTGTTCAAAGTACTTGCCATGTGTTTTTTAGAGGTATTTCAATTGATACTTAACAGCTAAGTACTAGAGTTCACACATTATGGTGTAGATTTTTGTGTAGTGTGCATTGGATATGTTAGAAACAATATCAAGACCAATATATCTGAAATTTTTATATAAATTGTAGAAAACTCAAACAAAGCTCAAGACTAAAACTTAGTTTTTTATTTTTTATTTTTTTCTCTATTTAATTATTTAAAATTT